CCACCGCCATGCCGATTGTGCCGAGCGATCTTCAAGCTGGAGCCTGGCTACACGACTGCCTACGTCGTTTTCTCGAACATGTGCTCGTCGATCGGGAGGAGGGACAAGGTCTCGATGATCTGGAACCTCATGAAGTCGAGGCGAGTGAGAAAACTTCCGGAGATCAGCAACATCGGCAGTGAAGTTCACAGTTTCGTAGTGGGGGATCTTTCGCATCCTCGCAGCAAAGACAACTTCGGGGAGCTCTAGAGGCTGGCCGCTGGTTATGTTCCTGACACGAATGAGATCTTGTACGAGGTTGGCGAGGAGCAAAAGGAGGAGCTGCTGCACTACCACAGCGAGAAGATGGCTGTGGCTTTTGGATTGATCAGCACGCAGCAAGGGTTGCCGCTGAGGATCATCATGAACTTTTGGGTGTGTGCGCTCAGCTATCAAGTTTGTGTGAGGATGTAATACATCCGAGATCACCGTACGGCTGAAACACGTGGTAACACATGGTGGATCTGGAGAGTCACGACTCTCACCTCTGTATGTATAACAATGATGATATTTGAGCGAGAGAGTTTTTCTCTTCTTCCTTGGTTTACAACATGGTATCAGAGGTCAGGGATTAAATCTTGGGCTGAATGGAGCAGGAAGAGGAGGAAGACGATGAGCCCCCTGATCTGGAGCGGCTGTGAATTGCAAATATCAAGATGGAGGTTTTTTTGTTTATTTTGTCTTGTGCAGGCAACCCTAAAATGGAGGCGGTTCTTAATTGGGACTGGCCTGGATTTGAATTGGAAGGGTTGTGGCATTGCTTGCTACCGCTGGAGACGATCTGATGCCCCTACTGCTACAAGGGAAGGCTTCCTTGGGCTGGAGATTTTCTGATGCTGCCAAGAGGCTTCTGTTCTTCCTGGGAATTGCTGTGTGCAAGGGCCTTGAGGCTGATGGAGAGATCACATTTGAGGGGGGGAGATGGAACAAAATGCTGGTTCCTGACAGGTCCTGATACAAGCTGGGCTGTGTGCAAGCTTGGGTACCTTGGAACGTGCTGCTATTGTTGTTCAACACCACAAGATGCTGATTTCGTGAGCTCAGCTTTTCTTGGCTGAGTGGGGGGAGTGAGATAGGTTTCTCAGTGGTTTAGCATTAGTTTCTTTTTTCTGATCCAGCCATCGCACGCTGATCTCGGCTGAGTGGGGGTGTGAGGATGTAATACATCCGAGATCACCGTACGGCTGAGACACGTGGTGACACGTGGAGAGTCACGACTCTCACCTCTGTATGTATAGCGATGATGATATCTGAGCGAGAGAGTTTTTTCTCTTCTTCCTTAGTTTACAACAGTTTGGTGGGACGATCTATAACTGTGACAGACGCTAGTCGGCTCCATCGCTTGAGCACGTGCTCTTGCGGAGATTACTGGTGACTTTGCTCGGCTCGTTCGAGAGACGGATGCGAGTGGAGGAGCCCATGAGCAATTTTCTAGCATTGAGGTAGAGTTCCATCTTTGCTTTTCTGGTCGCTTCATGGAATGCGAGGGACAAGCTTGCAACGAATCCACAACTAAGGAGAAAAGAATTTTATAAACGGGACAATCTCAAACAAAGTTGGATCGGACTTGGTTGATGCTACGCTCGCCCAAGAAGAACGTCTTCTCGAGCACCTCGTCCGGGACCTCGGGTCGGGATCCAAACATGGATCTGGCAATGAACTGGATTCCGGGAAGCTGGGAGTTGAGAATGGCGATGATCTTGGCATTGGTACGTCCTACGTTCATCTGCCAGTGGATCAATCCGCGAGGAATCACCATGACTTCTCCCCTGTTCATCACTCGAGCAAACAGACGATTATCCGCTGTGACGATGGCGGCGTAGACGGTCCCTTCTTCTACGTAGACCATCTCCGAGGCTCTGGGATGGGTGTGTGGAGGGATGATTCCTTCGGGGAGAAAGTCGAGCCTAGCGATGGAGAGACCCAAAGTGTTGAGGCCTGGAAATCTCAGCACAGTTCCAAAGATGGCACCTGAGCTGTTGATGTTTGTGGTGTTGGAGGAGTTGACGATTCCGCTGTAGATGAAGTCGTCGACCGTGACTGCGGAGGCGTTCCTGCATGGGAATCCATTGATCCCGGGGACAACGTTGAGATCTCCAATGCAAAAGTCCTGGAGTGGATCTGGATCGGATGAGACTACTGTCCACACGAAGAATGAGAGCAAAGCAAATGAGAGAGCGTGAGATCTGGACACAGCCATAGTCGATCAAGAGGGGAGAAATCTTTAATTGGAGACGAGGATCGCTGGATTTATGATGAACCGTTGCCTTGAATGATATATATACCTCGAAAATGTGGTCGTGCGCGTACACACTAATTTGGAAAGCCGAGCGAGCCACCATGTTGGAACACCGAGTTTCAATCAGCGAAAATCACTTTTGAATGTATGCCGTCAGATTGTTTTAAATCGGACGGCTGTATATGAAAGGGCTAAACGAGAAGATGGATTCTAGGGTTTTGGATGAGCACTGAGGAAGCAGCAGCATTTCTCATCGGCAGTAATTATTTTGATCGATCGAGGTAGCTTGGGTCTTTCGCTAGAAACGTTTCGTGAGCATGGTGCATAGAAATCTTGATCATCAGCGGCATTGTCTCATAGTGTTCGATGGCGACCAGTGTGGATATTCGTCTCAGGCATTGCTTTTGGTTGTTCGCGGTAGCCGTGGCTGTGGACATGTTTGCCAAGTGTGGGAACTCAGATCAGGCACTGATCTTCGATAGCATGGCTTTCCATGACGTGCTCTCGTGGAATGCACTCATGCAAGGATGGCAAAGAAGACTTTGCTCTCGATCTCTTCTCGCAAATCCAGACATCTCAAGAAGCTACGCCGGACGCGCGGACTTTCATCGCGGCTTTGATGGCGTGCTCGCAAAAGCAGCGAAAGAAGATGTCAATTGGAGTGTCGCAAGTCGAAAAAGCTGGATTTGAGTTTTTTAGCAAGTGCGCTGGCCAGAATTTTCTAAGAACTAGAGCTTTCTCATTAGTATCTTACAAGGCGCAAAGAAGAACAATGCACGAGGAAAGAAAGAAACTTTCTAGCTAACATCGAAAGACCTGAAAGAACTTCTTCGATGCAAATGGGTATTTTGCGCACCCCGCGGGCATATTCTTCCTTCCTCACGGACGAGCAAATCTCATTCATTTAGAATAGTATTATCATATTGCGGTTTAGACCCTCTCTAAGCCCGACGCAAGATGAGCATCAGTGATACCTCCGCAGCTACCTTAGTGATTTCTTCTTGGTGGCAAGAAACCCGTCCATATAACTCAATGTTCCCGTCTGTATCTCACGTATGTAAATATCCATTATTTCTTTGGGCGTGATCAATTCTTAGTTCTTACACTCTACTATCGAAGGAATTCTGCAATGTGATCCACGAGAATCTGGAATCTACGAGCCTTACAGTTGGTAAAAAAAAAAAAAAGAATACGAATTTACCAATGAACCAATATATACCAGAATATACTCTCTAAGCCTGGTAACAAATCCAAACGATACATGTCAGAAATGTGTACGGGTGCACTCTAACAGAATTTTGTGATCATGGGGACTTACGATGGATCGAGGCTGTCCAAACACTTGCGATCCATCCTGTCCGTCCAGCACATCTTCGTGCTTCCTGAGCGCGCGAGCGTGGAGAGCTCGCCAGGGGGACGATGGCCGGCAGTGTGTGGGCGAATTCGAAGCTCATTGCGATCGGCTGTGCTGCTCTCGCAGCAGCGCTTGCGACGTCGTTCTGGGCATTGATCCCGCGCATGCGCAGGCCCAGGAAATCCAAGATCGATCGAGACGACTTGCCGGTGGAGGTCTGGGCCAAGATCCTGGGGAAGATGACTCCCAGGGAAATGATTGCGAGCAGGGGGATCTCCAAGCTGTGGCGCGTGGCGGTGGATCAAGAGCTCTCGACACGGCTGTGGATTGTGGAAGAATCCAATGGCAGGGTCCGGGACTCGCGCGGCCCGGCCTTCGATTGCGTGATCGCCAGCATGAGATCCTTGCTGCCGTCGTGGGCGACCACCCAGAATCTAGGACGCTACCTCTTCTCTGGAGTTCCTGGATCGTGGAACAGCAGCTCTCGAGGCCTCGTAGTTGGTTCTTGCGAAGACGAAGCTGGATCATACATTCTCTTTGTGGGCAATCCTCTGCTGCGATTGTGGGATAAGCTGCCGGATCCGGATCTTGGCGACATCTCCGGTCTCTACGTCTCCATCGAGCACAAGAGCGACTCCTCTGGTTCTTACTCGGTGCATGTCGCCGATCCCGGCCACCAACGAGCCAAGAAGCTGGATTCCCACGAAGGTTTCTTCTGGAAAGAAGAAGCCGACTGGGCCAAAGCCTGCTCGTTCCACCAGGAGCTCCGCCAGCCGCCCAGAAACGTCCCTCCTTTCCCAGCGGCTGCGACCAGAGCGCGCGTGGATCCGAATGCGGCGACGAGTGTGCGGTTCCGCTCGCTCGCGCTCGCCAGGAAATCGCGGGGTAACGATTTTGAGCTTTGGGAACTGGTTGGTGGTGCGTGGTCCAGGCTCGGTGCTGGCTCGTACGAGCTGGATTTCCTCCTGAGCGGCCTCTGCGACGACGATTCCGACTGGAAGGCGTTCTTCGGCGACAAGTTGGTGGTGCTGAAATGGCTACAGTTTGTGGCGACATTCGACTTGGGCGACGACGCGGATGGGCGCTGGCACGATTTGGAAAAGGCCTGCTTTGTGTGGCAGCCAGGCTTTGCTCGTCCCTGAGGAAGGAAGAATATGCCCGCGGGGTGCGCAAAATACCCAAAGTGGGCATTTGCATCGAAGAGGTCTTTCCATGTTAGCTAGAAAGTTTCTTTCTTTCATCGTGCATTGTTTTTCTTTGCGCATCATCGCGCCTTGATACTAATGGGAAAGCTCTAGTTCTTAGAAAATTCTGGAATCTAGCTGATATAATGCTATACACTACCCTAAAGACAGGCAATTAGGGTTTATGGTCAGCGATGGAGGCCTGCGAGAGAGGACGCGCAACATCTGTATCCTCGCCCACGTCGATCACGGCAAGACGACGCTGGCGGACCATCTCATCGCCGCCGCCGGCGATGGCGTCGTCCACCCCAAGCAAGCGGGTAAGCTTCGCTACCTCGACTTCCTCGACGACGAGCAGCAGCGCTGCATCACCATCAAGAGCGCCTCCATTGCCCTCCGCTACCGCGATCACGCCATCAATCTCATCGACTCGCCGGGGCACATCGATTTCTGCGGCGAGGTCTCCACGGCAGTGAGGTTGAGCGATGGAGCGCTCGTTTTGGTGGATGTTTGCGAGGGAATCCACGTCCAGACCCACGCTGTGCTCCGCCAGGCATGGCTGGAGAGGGTGGCGCCGTGCTTGGTGCTCAACAAGGTGGACAGGCTCGTCACGGAGCTCAAGCTCTCGCCGCTCGAGGCCTACCGGAGAATGGAGCGGATCATCGCCGAGGTGAACGGCATTGTCAGTGGCTTTCGATCCGAGAGCTACTTCTTCCGCGACGGAGAACAGCACGAAGAAGAGAGTGGTTTTGCGGACTTCTCTCCGGTGGCTGGGAATGTGGCCTTTGCGAGTGCTCTGGACGGGTGGGCTTTTAGAACACACGATCTTGTGGAAGTTTGCGAGATAAAGCTGGATCACTGTGTGACTGCTCGGGAGCTGGAAGAGAAGCTATGGGGGGGCTTCTTCTTGGTAACAGAGGACAAGAAACACAAGATTGTGTCCGAGCAGGAGCTTCCAAACGGGGCCAAGACCGCTGCCCCCAACACGAGGAAGCCTCTGTTCGTGCGACTTGTCCTGGAGAGCTTGTGGCAAGTTTACTCGTCGCTAGAGAAAGTTGGCGACGAGTCGGCAAAGATCCTGAGCAAGGTGATCAACGTCATGAAGCTCTCGGTTCCAGAGCGAGAGCTACGAAGTGGAGGCAGGGCGTCTCTCCAGGCCGTGATGAGCCGATGGCTTCCACTCTCGGACAAGCTCCTCGACATGGTTGTCCAAGCTCTCCCGGACCCGGCTCGAGCACAGGCTTACAGAAGCAATCACTTACTCCCGCCAAGAGCAGCGTCGTCTTTTTCGACCCTGATCAGCCCGAGCCAGCAGCAACTTCTCGACGAGATTGAGCATGCACGAATGTCGGTAAAGAAGTGTGATGACAGCCGCGGAGCTCCTTGTGTGGTTTACGTTTCCAAGATGTTCGCGGTCCCGGCTTCGATGATTCCTCGTGGTCGAGGAGATGAAGAAGACGAGTGCTTCTTGGCATTCGCGAGGGTGTTTAGCGGGGTCCTTGTTGCTGGTCAGAGAGTCTACGTGCTCTCGGATGTCTACGATCCAACCGTGGATACGGACAAACGGAGCTTTGAGGTGGCGACTGTCACGGCTCTCTACGTGATGATCGGCCGAGGACTCAAGCCCGTGGACAAGGCAGCGGCTGGAAACGTGGTGGCGATCCAGGGACTTGGGGAAGAGGTTCTCAAGACGGCGACACTTAGCTCATCTCCAAACTGCTGGCCACTCGCGGGCTTAAGTTTCCAGGCGGCTCCGATAGTGAGGGTGGCGGTGGAGCCGTCGAATCCTGCGAACTTGGCACAGCTTTTGAAGGGACTCAAGCTTCTCAACCGCGCCGATCCCATGGTCCAGGTGACTTTCTCGAGCACTGGTGAGTACGTGCTCTCAGCAGCAGGCGAAGTTCATCTCGAGCTCTGCGTGAAGGAGCTGAGGGAGAGGTTTGCTCGCGTGGAGCTTGAAGTCTCGGCTCCTCTGGTAGCATTCCGAGAAACCATTGACGACGACAGTGCGATCACGAGCGAGCGATCGGAGGAAGAAGAACAGGAAGAAGGAAGAAAGGAGAGATGCGTGAGCTTCACCACTCCAAACCGCAGGTACACAGGAAGTGTTGAGGTTTGGAGGCTGCCAAGCTCGGTGCTGGAAGCCATCGAGAGCTCGGGCCTCGTCAAAACCGGCAAGGAGACTTGTTGCTCCGAGACTCTGGCAGCTCATCTTCTCGCGAATGCAGCAACAAAGAGGGAGCTCTTGGGCGAAATCATCTGGTCGTGCTGTGGAGCCAATCTCCTCGTTTCATCGCCGGAGCTCCTGCAAAGCTGTGGCAGCGAGGAAGACAGTGCGAGCCTGGAGAGCAGCATCGTGACGGGCTTTCAGCTGGCCTGTACCGCCGGTCCGCTGTGCAAGGAGCCACTGTGGGGACTGGCCTTCAGGATCAAGGTGGCGACTTGCAGCAATGCTGGCCATGGTGGCGTTGAAAACTCGGGACAAGTTATCAAGGTGATCAAGGAGGCGTGCCTGGAAGCAGTGGCGAAGAGAAATCCCAGGCTTGTGGAGGCGATGTACCTGTGCGAGGTGAGCACAAGCTCCTTGTTCCTGGGACAAATGTATGGAGTTTTGGCGAGGAGGCGGGCGAGGGTGGTGAAGGAGGAGATGGCGGAAGGGAGGGACGTGTTTGCGGTGGTAGCGTTTGTCCCCGTGGCGGAGAGCTTTGGCCTGGCGGAGGAGCTGAGAAAGAGGACGTCTGGAGCGGCCAGCCCCCAGCTGCGGTTTAGTCACTGGGAAGTAGCCGAGGACGATGGAGATGATGGACTGGAGATGGGAGCTTTTCCAGAGAGGGACGAAGAACAAGGAGGGGGATTTGCGAAGCGGTTGATTGACGCAGTGAGGAGACGAAAGGGATTGGCTGTCAAGGAAAATCTTGTGAGGCATGCCGCGAAGCAAAGAACCTTGGCTAGAAAAGTCTAATAGCCCATTTTCTTTCGAATATTTGGAAGATTCGTTTTTGAAAGATACCAAATAATCCCTAACCCTAAAATTGGAGCGCAAAGTTCAGTCACGTAGTGGTAGCCACAGACTTTCAGGCAGCAGCAGCAGCGCAAGAGCAGTAGTTAAGTAGCGCGAGCAGAAAGTAGCAGAGTGAGTAGTAGAAGCACGTAGGTAACGAGACATAGCACGATAGAGTTAGATAGTAAGGAAGACTGGGAACGAAGAACAGCAGTGAGACGAAGTGAAGAATTAACAGTCAGATAGCAGGGGACCAATCATTCAGGGCGAAGCACTCCTCGGCTGGATTCCACCACTTCATTGAAATGGTGGCGGGAAGAAGAGCTCCAATCTTTGTAGTTTTCTTTTTCTACACTTGTAAATATCCATTCCAAATCTATAGTCTTTCAAGTTCGTGATCGCCCCCTTTCGTGATTAGCTTTGAAAAAGAAAATAAATGGAGATCCGATTTTTGGCCATTGTTTGATGAGGCCATGCCACTTTTGCTGATCACGAGTGACGAGCTCATGAAGTAAACATTGGCTAACAACCGGCTGCGACCGTATAAAGTCATGCCAAGCAAAGCGCGCCTCCACGCAAAGACCCCCTTTGACAAAACACTTCTCTCTGCCAAGAGCTTCTTTTTTATTTAGCTAGTGGCTAGTGATCTTTTCCTCGTTGTCATTCTAGCTCTGTGGATCATACGGGCCGAGCGATGGCAAGAAATCTTCGCAGCTTCGCCGCGTTTCTTGCGATTTTCTTGACGTTTTTAATCCACTCGAGCGGTACTGCACTCATTGCTTGAACTGATCATTCCATCCAATTGAGCTCTCTTCTTATGAAACTCTTTTATCTCTTTGCTTTCGTGCTTGTTTAGATGCTTCTGATCGAGAGTATGACTACTCCAACAACAGCCCGCGCGGGCCGCAGCGATGGGCGAGCCTCCACCGATCGTGGACGCTGTGCAGCTCCGGCTCACTCCAGTCGCCCATCAATCTCACCAAAGAGACGGTCTTGCGCGACAAAACCCTGCACAAGCTCGACTCCAATTACAACTCCACTGCCATCGCTACGGTTCTGGACTGGAAAGAGGATGTGGTCGTAAGTTACACTCCGAGATCTTTGATCTTTGATCTTCGATCTTCTCCTGGGAAATGATATACTTTGTTTTCTTTGTTCCAGCTTAACTTCCCAGACAATGCTGGTGATTTGATGATCAACGCGACCCAGTACAAGCTAGTCCAGATCCGTGTCCACTCGCCCAGCGAGCATATGCTGGAAGGAAAAACGTAAGCTTTTCTCTTCGGAAATGAAATGAAATTTTGGTTTTTCTCTTGAAAAGGTTTCCTGCCGAAGTCCATCTCGTCCATAACAGCACTGACGACTCCAGCCGCATTGCGATCGTAGCATTCTACTTCAAGCTCGGGCGTCCAAACACTTTCATTGGCCAGGTAGGAATATTTCATTCTTTCTTGGATTTCTATTCAAAATATTTACAAAATAATCAAACTGATAATATAAGGTGATCGATGCACTCAACTCCACCCAAAACTTGGGCGAGCTCAACCCAACGCTACTCAAGATGGTGGGCAGGCCGTACTACCGCTACTCGGGCTCGCTGACCAGCCCACCCTGTACGGAGGGCGTTGACTGGTACGTGGTCAAGAAGAATCGCCGCATGTCCGTTGACCAGTTCCAGTTCATCCACAGCTATGTCAACGTAAGTCAATCACAGTGAAGTTCTTATTAACTTTTTTACTCCATAGGGAAGCAACGCAAGGCCCATGCAGCCTGCCAATGGACGAGAAATCGAAGCTTATAAATAGTATAAGAATTACGTGAACAAGAATATACCATGTACGTCATAAAGAATATGCCCAGGAATATAAAAGAAGGCTTGCCCCACCGTACAGTGCTTGCGTGTTCCAACGGCCGCGCCTGTTAAAATTTGAAAATCCGGGAGAGGAGAAAGAGATTAGGTCTTTCTTCTCTCCTCTTTCTCCCGATCGATCCATCCACGATGCGACGCCGCCTCCAAATCCACTCGGCCGGCCAGTTGGGCTGAAAGGATGCGCGGCGCGGCGCATCGAGAAGCGAGGTGATTGATCCCTTCTTTGTAGCCCCGAAGAACCATACCATCGCGGCCATGGCGAGCTTGAGCGTCTCCGGCCTGGCGCTGCCGCAGTGCGCCTCCATGCTGCGCGAGAAGCAGCGGATGTGCTCCGGGAATTGCAGCACCAGTGGATCCAGCGGCGGCAGCGCTAGCGGCAGGCGGAGTTACAGCACTAGATTCGCATTTGGAGGAGGAGGAGGAGCGTCATCGTCGTCAGTAGCGAGGAGAGATTGGAGGCCTGTGCAAACTAGAAGAACAACAGCCACCACCGTCACCATGACACTGGGAGGAAGCTTTGATACCTTTCGGGACAGTGGTGGAGCACCGCCCACGCGTTTCCAGCGAAGTGGATACCTCCTCGGCCAGCCCTTGAAGAGCCTGGATCCCGGCTTGCACCTCGGCCCGGAGCTTCCACGCCTCCACCAGCGGAAGGGTCCTTCGTTCCTCAAGCCTGGAAGAATCGGAGTTAAGCGAGAGAGCAGCGATCCGGATGGAACTTACGAGACCACCAAGAAGGAGGTGACCAAGGCGGCGAAGCGGCTCAAGGACGACAAAGGTGGCGGCACGGGCAGGATCGCCGTCTACTTCGTCTCCTGGTGGGGGCTCAACATCATCTTCAACGTTTACAACAAGAAGGTGCTCAACGTTTACCCGTTTCCGTGGCTCACCTCCGTCATGGCGCTCTTCGCCGGGACCGTCATCATGCTCGGCTCGTGGATGACGGGATGCATCCAAGCTCCCGACACGGACATGCAGTTCTGGCAGAATCTCTTCCCTGTAAGAACCAAAGAACTCATTAGTCAGTCCACGAACTTGAAGTAACGAAACCAAAGAGAGCGTAGGAACGAACTCACCTTGAAAGCTTTTCAGGTGGCAGTGGCGCATTCCATTGGACACGTCGCTGCGACCATCAGCATGGCGAGGAGTGCTGTGGCCTTCACGCAGATCATCAAGAGCGCGGAGCCCGCGTTTAGCGTGGTGCTGTCGCGACTCTTCCTCGGAGAAAGGTATCCTCTTCCCGTCTACTTATCACTCCTGCCAGTCGTTGGAGGTTGCTGCTTGTCCGCCGCCACCGAGCTCAACTTCGACATGATAGGTACTTTCTTCTTCTTCGCTTGCCTCTTTTCTTCGACTTATCGAGCTCCTGTTTGTCACAGGTTTCTTGGGAGCCAACATCTCCAACGTTGCCTTTGTCTTCCGGAACTTCTTCTCCAAGAGAGGCATGAGCAAGAAGGTCAGCGGCCTCAACTACTACGGCTGCCTGTGCATCATGTCTCTGGCCATCTTGACGCCCTTCGCAATCGCCATAGAAGGCTTTCACAACTGGAACGTTGGCTGGCAAACTGCGTCTCGAGCAATCGGTCCCCCATTCCTCTGGTAACGTTGGTCACTTCCAAACTTGAGACTCTGCCTTCCCCGTCGTTCTTTCTTTCTCACGCCGTCCGTCTGCTAACCAGGTGGGTGATCGCACAGAGCGTCTTCTACCACTTGTACAACCAAGTCTCGTATATGTCGCTGGACCAGATATCTCCGCTGACTTTCAGCATTGGTAACACCATGAAGAGAGTTTCTGTCATTGCGGCGTCCATCTTCATCTTCAAGACGCCGGTGCAGCCTGTGAATCTGATTGGTGCAGCCATTGCGATTTTTGGAACCTTCTTGTACTCACAGGTAGACAAAAGCTTGTTCGCTGTGAACTCCCTCACTGTTCTTTTCCTTTGCAGGCAAACAAGTGAAAAATAGCTTTTTTCAGCCGTGCTACAAGAGAGAATGAGAGAAGATTGAAAGTGTACCTGTTTTTTGAGACTTCGCAGGGAGAATGCATTGACGCTGATCTGTTTTGTTCGAGACAAACTGTTACTGTTATCGCATTGCAAGTGTTAGCTGTAATTAAAAAATATAGAAAGATCGTCAGTAGCCAGACACGCGTGAATTTCTCACAAGGGAAGCAGCAACACGGGGCAAGGAACGAATTCTGCAAGGAGGTTCCCATCAATGTGCTTGGAATGAATGCATTCCATGCTGAGAACGACCAAGTCTAGCCCCATGTCATCCGCAACTTCTCCTATTACCACTGCTGCTTTCTTGCCTTCTCCAATCTTTTCCAGCATCCCATAGTCTTGGATTCCTCCTACAAAAGAAAAATGTATCACAAGTTTACCAATGAATATCAATCCCAACCTTCTTCCAGGTGCCAGCGAATTGTTTGAAGTCTCTGCTCGTAGTCTTTCTCCTTTTTCTCCTCATCAATCACTGCAGCCACGGCAAATTCATAATGGACGTGATGGACCCAAACAAAAAACGAAGTTACGTACCCACAACTGTGATCTTTGCGCCATACTTCTTCGCTAGAGACGTAGCTGTTGCCGCGGCCTACAAAAAGAAAAACAAAGAAAGAAACAGCACTCAGAATCAATCAAAGAAAAAAACTGAGTTTTTGCAACCTGACGAGTCGAATCCGACAGATACGGGTTCTTATCGATGATGGGCAGTAGAACATGTTGAAACTCTTTCGCTATTGCTGGAGCTCCGTCTGCATTACAGTGAATCGGCAACTCGAGAGACAAACAAGAATCCGACTTACCAGTAGCACTACTGCTGCACCGAGCCACCCGAAAGCGTTGAGGACGAATCGAGTAGCATCTAGACCGATTTGCTGGGGCCTGGAACGAAAAGCAAGACAAAGAAGAAGAGGTTGAAAGGCCGATCCGGCTGATGTTGCTCATCATCGTCGCCCAAAACCAAGGAAGAGAAACCAAAACCCACAAAGTCCACTTGGACAGTAGCTAGGGCTTTCCAGACTCTTCCCCTTCCTAAATCCTGCTTCCTGCCTAGCTATGGAAACTAAAACCAGTGTAAACTAAAATTGAATTTCCCTGTCCCTAAGAGAAGCTTGCTTCCTGTGCTATCCTTCTAACTTCATCCACCTGGGAAATGATCGCATCTGTGCTTTCGATCGGTACCTCTACTGCTAATTGCAAGCTGTGTCTGATGATGCTGCTTGACGTTGTCGTCGTTTTCTTTTTGCTGCTACCCGGTGTGGTCTTCTTCGCAGACCCTGGCTTTGGTGGCTTGCCTCTCGGCTTCTTTTCTGCGGCTTCTCCCGGGGAGTTGGACTTGCTGTGGCCGTTTCCATTTCCTGCTTCCTGACCACCCGCATCAGTCTCCTGGTGGGAAAAAAACAAGGCAAACTTTTGAGAAAGAACGAGATCAATTAGACATGGAGGCACCTGTTTCAGAGGTTCCATCTGCAGTCTCCCGCCTGCTGCTGCTGCAATCGCTGCCACTGCCTCCATTTCGTGGGTACCGGCAAAAGGAGCGGCCGACATCGGCTGCGGAGGCGTATGGTCCTTCCAATCCGTGATTGGGAATGCAAAGTCCGGACCGAAGTTGAATCGAACCGTGCAGTTTGGCTCGTTCGGAAGCGTGTACATTGAAGCAGCAGGAAAGTACCGTCCTGCGTAGATATCTTTGTAAGCACAGCCCTGGTACACACCGTTTCTAAAGAACACAATCTCGCCTCCTGAAAACAGAAAGCACCAAGACGTCGTTACGAAACGGTGAAAAGAAACAAGAGTCGATACAAACCAGGCAAAGGCCTGAGAGGCTCCTCTTTCGTCTCGGCAGTGTAAGGCAAGCCTTTGAAGCTCACAATCTCCGGTGGCTTTGGAGCAAGAGCAGCACCATTCGGCAAGTTGATGTAGAAGCCAATCGTGTCACCTTCAATGTAGGCTTCTCCATAAGGCTCCCTGAGCGCTGCATGGACTTTACTCCCTTCCAGGTCCCGGTAGCCATATCCATGACTGTCGTATCCAACCGGAGCCTGGACATCACCCTTCTGCGTACACCACCCAAGCCGCGTGTGCCCAGTCTTCCCCAAGTGCTCCACAGTGATCTCAAAGTACCAAGCTCCTTCCACAACACCCCGAGTAGCTCGGACCATCCGGTACCCTTTGATACTCCCAGCCGAGAGCTGGTCGGCGCTGAGCTCCACCTTCTCGGCCTTCTGGAGCTTGGAGAGCAAAACTGGCAAGTCCGGCCCATCCTCGATCTTGGGAACCACGGGACTGAGGTAGACCGAGTTCTCATTCTCCAGAGCTTTCGCCTGTGTCTTGCTGCCCCCCTTTTTGCTGCTCTTCCTCGTCGTGCTCTTGCTCCAAACGTTTGTGTTTCTCTTCTTTGGCTTCTTCGCTGCCGCCGCGGATGCCCCCTCGTCCCCCTGCTTGCGTTTCTGGCTCACCTTTCCCTTCTTCTTGTTGTTGCCTCCCTCAGCAGCTGGAATCTCCATCTCTGGAGTCTCTGGCGCTGGAGTCCCGGGGGCGGCCTCCTCCTCCTCCTCCTCATTCCCATCCCCACGATTCACATTCTCGATCGGCACTGCGTCGGTAGCATCCGGAGTGGAATTTGGATCCCTACTCACCCCTTCGTCGTCATCGCCCGCCGCATTCGGGCTGTTGTTGTTGTCATCGTCGTCGTCGCCGAGCCGGAGCGATGGAGTGCGATCCTCGTCCTCCATCTCCTCGTCGCCGCCCTCGCCCTGCTCCGCGAGCTCCTCCTCCATCGTCATCACCTAAAACCCTAAAAATATTTTCACGCGAATATGCCCAACGAATAATCTTACTCCGGGAAAAGGAAAACTCTTCGTGCTCTAGCTCTTGAGCCTCTTGGCGAATCGCGCGATCACTTGGAACTCGTCCAGATGCTGTGACAAGAAGAGATAGAAACGATCGATTAGTGGAGCGCTTGGCTGTGGGGCTTGCCTGTTGGGACGCGAAATGTCGGATCACGGCTTCTAGCAGCTCCTCCTTGGAAGAATTGGGGCTAACAGGCTGCAAGAAAATCAGGACGCCAGAAAGAGAAGCGATCGATCGATGCGTACGAGTTTGAAGTGGCGCCGGTACCGCCTCAGCGCCGCCGTCTCCAGCTTGCTCAGATCCACAATCTGATCCAAGAAATATCCATCGATGATTGATCGATCGATCGAAAGAGGGAGAGAAAGAGGAGAAAGAAGATAAAAATCTATCGATCGATCAGAAAACTCTCACCGTTTCTTGCCGAGATCCCGTCGCTGCTGCTGCCGCTCTTGGATCAATGTGAGTGGACGATCGCTTCTCGGAGGAGGATTTCGCGTTCATGGAACTGGCGATGGATCGAAATCTTTCGCTAGGGATATTCGAGCGATGGAAGGAAGAAAGGGGTATATTTTTGGGCTTGGCCTTGTTTGGATTTTAGGGATTGGATTGGGGAAAGGAGGAAGGATGCTGATCGAGGCGGACGTCTACGAGGATTACATCCTTTGCGACAAGCAGCGAGCTGGCGGCGATGATGGCCGCGACCGCGGTGATGACGATCGCGCCTCCCAATCATGCGTCGTCGATCCTCCTCCTCCAGCGCCGGCGCCAGTGATTCCCGAGAAGAAGGAGGCGGTGGAAGAAGAATCGCAGAGCGCCGCCAAGATCATCGATGCCGCGGCGGCACTGCGATGGATGCAAGAGCTCGGCCGCGATTACAAGGCGTATCGGCTCCAGAGCCTGGGATTTCTCGTCCTTAGCACCGTGCTCTTCGCGGCTCTCCTGGCGATCGTCGTGTGGCAGCACAACCAGATCCTCGTCTTGAAAGAGGTAAGTCTCTAGAAATTTTTTCTTTCCTCCATCGATTGACTGATCGATCCGATCGCTTTGTTTTCCAGAGGGTGGAGTATCTCTCCCAGGCGGCGTACATCCAGGAGACCCCCATCACGATCTCCCGCCCGCGCTGCACGACCCTCTTCCCGAGCTCCCTGTGCGAGACCAGCAAGGAGCTGCTAGGGCGCTTGCGATCGCGCTTGATCAACGAGTTTGCCTAAATTCTCTAGAGATTTCCAGCGATTTCTATCCCCCCGATAGAAATCGAGAGAGCTTCTTCTTCATTGTCACTCTCACATACATTGTCTAAATTCCGTTTTTCTCTTTCCGCAAGTACTCACTCTTTGATCTGATCGCGCTCGCGCTCGCGCTCCCGCGACAGCATCATTGGCGAATTCCTGTCGGGCTGCCGATTGACGAAGATCAAGTAGCCAGTGACGCCCAGCACGATCGCGGTGAAGATGTAGAGCCCTCGCGTATTGAGCCGCGTCCTTCGATCCTCCATCGCCTAACCCTAATTCTAGGGTTCGTGAGCAACTAACGGCTGGGATGCAACCCCCGACAGCCATCCGACGGGCACGATTCAACCACCCAACAATAGAAATATTTCTTTTAATCAGTAAAAAAAATAAAAATAGAGAGAAATTTACAACCATCCGACACGAGAGCGCTCGGCCTCGCCAATTCGGACCCTTTTTTGGTTTGGCTGTTTAGCTGTTCTTCGTCTTTGATCCAGAGGAATAAATGCGATGCGTGAGGAGAAATCGGGGAAATCGGGAAGAAAATCGAGAAGGGCAGCCGAGAAATCGATTGATCAGTAGAGAGATTGAGAAGAGGAAGAAGAATCGGGGGAGGAGGACGAACTGGGCGATGAATTGGAGGAGATGGGCGGAGAGGAGGCCGATCGTCGAGTCTGCCTGGTGTTGTAGGAGTAGCAGTGGAGGCATTTGTGAGCAACAATGTGAAATGGTACCTCGGAGGATCCACCGCAATCGTTGCACAGGATCCACACCAGCTTGTTGCGGTAGGCATCGGGCATGGGCGTGGCGGCGATCTCCTGATCCAGCCTCTCCCATGCCGAGCTCATGTCACACACCGACTTGGAACACACCGGGCACGAGAACTGCGCGTGGAGGGTCATCTCGCGGAGGCACTCGCTGTGGATGGTGTGGCCGCAGCGCAGAACCGTGATGTCGCTGATGGAATCGAAGAGGTAGTCGAAGCAAACCGGGCAATTGTGGTGCATCGAGTTCTCCACGCACGAATGCCCCTTTTGGAGCGCCACCGCGTAGCAGCAGCCACACTTGTCGCAGTGGAAGAACTTCTCCTGCCCGCCGACGCGGCAGATGCCACACGAATCGCAGTGGAACTGGCCCTTGCTCACGTCGTCGTCGAAGAAGCGGCAGATCGAGCAGTAGTAATCGCCCATGGAGACGCCGCAGCCGGAGCAGACCTGGTGGACATCCTGCTCCAATCCACACAGCGAGCAGATGACGCGCTCTACCTTGTGCCGGGGGAGGTCGTGGCGCTTGGAGGGATCGGCCTCGTTGGCGTTCATGGCCTCGTTGTGGCAGTGGCGGCAATTGAAGATCCCATTGCAGCAGGGAGCCCGGATCAAGCAGCGCCGGCGGTAATGCGCACAGCCATACTCCATCACGCCCTCCTTGAGCGCCCGGATCTGCTCTTCCACGCCGCGCGCCAGGGATTCCTGGCTGAAAACCTCCGCCGCCGTCGCGATCTCGATCTGGTGCGACAGCGTCGAATGCAAGCCGGATTCCACCACCGCCACGGACATCTTGGAAATCTTGGCGCTCCTCTCACTGGACTGGATCAAACCCTAGCCCCCATCCGCCATAGCCAACAAGAACAAAACAGCCGGCCACATATATAGGGCAACGGGGATCGAGGGAAACTGTTTTTGTGGCATTCCGATCCGGAATCGTGAACAGATCCGACGGTCAGGATGGCGCCGTTCCTGCGGCGCGGGATTTATGTCCATCGAACGGTTACGGCTTCTGTCCCTTTGTTCGTTGGGCGGTTGAGATTTGTCCTAGGGCAACTTGGCATGATGATGGGATAGAGTAGGCCATTTTAGATCTCGTCTGATTGGCCGTTACGATCGCCAATCACTCGCCATTTTTTTTTTTTGCAGCATTTTTACTTTTCTTCGGATTTACGAGCGAAGCAAGAAAAAGCAGTCTTTGCTTGCCCCGTCTCATTCATAAAGAACATTGAAGAGGGAAAGAAAACGCTCAATCGCGATTCCATCCTTCTGGATTAATCTTGGAATCTCTACCTTGGATTGTAAAAGGAATAATTCGTGAGGGCCCCGTAACCTTGTACATATTGGGAGACCTAGGCCTAGTCTAAGTAAAAATGCGGTGGAGTCCCACCCATCCACGCTCGCTTCCTTATCTCGCAAGGAACGGCGGCGGCGGGTGTGGGACACGCCGCGGCGTTAAATGCCCCACTTTGGCATTTGCCCCCATCGTGGGTCGTGTGATCAGCTCAAAGCTCTGCCCAATCCACGAACTCTCCAAGATTCTATCAGATCGATCCATGGAAGAATAGGGTTTTTAATCTTCTCTAGAGAACATGCTCTACGCAAAGATCAAGCAGTCAGGCGTGTCGGGAATGCCCAGACAAGCGCCAGACAAAAAAGCTAGGGCTTGTCTCCAATCCCCCATTCTTGCACTGGAATATCCTCCAGTTACAAGAATATTCTCGTGGTCGACAAACGAGGTCGTCGTTACGAAACAAACCTCTCCCAAAACGGACGAAAAAATCTTCCTTCTCGGCAGCGAGTACCTCTTCTTTTTTTTCTTTTCTTCCTTTTGTCCCGACTCCTTCCTCGGGAACTTCCAAACGAGAAACGCTCCAATTGCTTGGCTTGCTTGCTTTGATTTGCTTCCTTGGCTGGCTTTTCTCCTGTCGATCGATCTAGGTAGCGGCGGCGCCAAGGGTCGGGTCTTGGGAGAGCTTTTCCTTTTCTTCTTTTGCTTCGAATCTCTTCACTGTTCCAAAGTCAATCTCTTGTCCCACAAGAAACGCAGCGGTGGTATAGCTAGTGGCGTGGAACACGCCGTTTCTTCAATGACTAGCTAGCTTTGCGTGTATCCTGTGAGAAAGACCCGTCTCTCCACTGCGCTATGCCACCACCAAGTTCCACGAACTCTTCGTCTTCATCTTCTTCTCTTCCTCCTCTCCTTCCCAAATCCAAATCCCAATCCTGTGTGTCTCGTCTATCCATCTATATCTGTTGTTTCTTCGCTGTTTGTTTGTTGTGGTGTAAAGATCCCAATGCTTGTGAAAAGTGTGAGAAGACACATCCCACTCCTCGGGGATTCCTTCCAAAATACTCCTGTTTTTTTCCTCCTCCTGCCTTGTTCCCTGTATCTTGCTAAAGAAAAACGGTGCCAGACCAGAGTTTGACCCGTTCGTCCGTCTGGTTCTTCTTTGTCGGCGCCACAACGAACTCCTCCTTGTTTTCTAGTCGTTGCTGTTGCTGCTGCTGTTGCTCGAGTGGCTGTCGTTGGCAGTGTTGCTGGTCGCAGCAGCGGCCGTGGGCGGAAGAGATGGCGGTCTCTTTGTCTGCCTGGTGTTGAAAGAGCCGCAACCGGGGCACTTAAGCGCGAAAATATGAAACGGTACCTCGTCTTTGTGATTGCAATCGTTGCACAGCATCCACACCGTCTTCCCCCTCAGGGCCTCCGGCATGGGAGTGGCAGCAATCTCCTTGTCTAGAGTTTGCCAGTACTCGGACAAATCCAGCACCGACCTGGAGCACATAGGACAAGTGTACCTCGAGTGCAACCGCATCTCATTGAAGCAGTCGGCGTGCATGGTGTGGCCGCACTGGAGCACGGTTATCTGCTTCACGGAGTCGAAGAGGAACTCAAAGCACACCGGGCAGTTGTGGTGCATTGCTCGCTCCACACAGACGTGCTTGCCTTGGAGAGCCACCGAGTAGCAGCAGCCACAACGGTCGCAGTGGAAGAAGTTGTCCGCTCCTCCAACGCGACAAATGCCGCATGCGTCACAGTGGTACTGGTGCTTGTCCGTGTCGTCGTCGAAAAGGTTGCACTTTGAGCAAAAGTAGCTCCCCATGCACACTCCACAGCCTTCGCAAACTTGCTGCACGTCTTGCTCCGTGTCGCACAACAAGCAAATGACCCGCCTTACAGACTCGCGACGGATTTGGTGCCTCTCGCGAGGGTCAGCCTCCTCGCCCTTTGCTTCGTTGTGGCAATGCCGGCAACCAAAAACCTCGTTGCAACACGGAGCTCTGATACGGCACCGCCGCCTGTAGTGCGGACAACCATACTTCCTGCGACCCCTCTCGTTTTGTTCTTCTTCCCTCTTATCTTCTACCTGCTCCCCATCCTCCTGCTGTTCCATCCCCGTTCTAGAAACTAAGGCCTCGGTTCCATTGCTCGTTCCAGATTCCACCGAGCAACTGAGATCCCAGGGGACACGCCTGTCCAGCTCCTCCATTCCACCCGGCGAAGAAGCAGAAAACTTCAGTGTTGGCGACGCAAGTTCCCAGTGCGGCTGAAAAGAAAAGAAGAAACGAATCACTCCCAAGGAAGCAAGAGCGGCCGAACTTGCAAGCACGCAAAAAATCTTACTCAAAGGCTTGCTTGCCTGTCCGTATCCAAGGGCCAGGATTCTTACTCGTAGCGGTCGACCGACACTGCTCTGACACGTCAAAAGATAAAGACGCTACGTTGACAATAGAGAAAACGTGAACGAGCGCTCTCCACCACGGAACAAAGGAATAAGATAGAGAGAGGAAACGTTGTACATTTGAAGGCCATAAAATACAAAGGATGGATGACACGGTTCCAACTCCTGAAAACACACATCCACCGGATAAAAACCATCACGATGCCACCTAACTTAAGCTCGAGCCTTACCTAATTTCCACGAGTCTCAGTCATCATCCTCACCCTCGGAATCTGTAATGTTTCCACCAGTTGATGAAAACGGAGAAAAGAACGATCCTAGAAAAGAAAAACTGTACTCTACCTGAGCGAACATCGTCTCCGATAACTCCAGCCCGTATCTGCTTGACGATCATTCGGTAAATAAGTACCCACCAGTAGATGTGAAGTACAAAAAGACTGATGAGTAAGGTATTCGTTACGTAGTAGTAAATTGGCCCGTAACCTCTATGTAGATGAATGTTGATGGCTTTGATGGACAAGTAGCTGTCGTGGATGACACGGAAACACCAGTGAAAAGCTTGAACAACTAGCAAAGATCAGATACTGCTTACCTTGTCCCCCAAATAACCCAGACTGGGAAGTAAATAAGCCGCAAGAGCACCCACGAAAGAGCAAACAAGCCAAACAGGACATCTGGAACAACACGGACTCCCGCATATTTTGACATCTTGGCCAGCTCCAAGAAAACATCACTCGCATCATGTAGTGCGAGCACGACGCATCCTATCCGAGCAAATCTGCTTGCACCAAAATAAAGCACCACGAACTTGACAGGCTCCACGAGAATATTAAAAGAACCAACCTGGTCCAATACGAAAACGAAATCAAGCCAAAGGTTGCCACATGGTGGGTCATGCTCACTCCGAAATCCTTTCTTCGCGTTTCCCAAAAGATAAGAGCAAATATGCTGTAGGCATAGAATCCCGCCGCAAAAGCATACAGGAGCTTGAGCTTCACCCTGGAAAAAAAGAAACAAAAATGAAGATCAGTACGAGAAACACTGTTCCAACTAGAAACTAGTTAAAGATCAAAGAACAAAACTCTAGAACTTGTTCCAGAAAAATCAAAGAACTCGAAAAACTTGGAAGGAAAAGAAAACCTCTTACTTGATGGTTTGATTCGGCCACGTTTGATCCCCGGGTCCGACCCAAATGCTGTAGCTATCGGTCAGCCAAGTCTCGTTATAAGTCACATATAGCGCAAAGATCTCCGCGGTGGTGTAATAAACGCATTTCCAGCCCGACTCTTTGAATTTAATCTGTGTCTTCCTCAGCGCGTCCCTATCGGCGTCGCTCAGCTTCCTCAACTTGGACTCGTGCGTGCCAAACACCGATTTCCTGCTCAATTTCTACGCGAGCGAGCTCAAATCTGCCAGAAATCCGCATTGCCGCTTACCTCGAGCACGAATCGATCCAAGAAGAAGCGGCAAACCGGGAATCCTATCGCGAATATCGGCGCCAGCGTCACAAGATCCCAAAAGGAGGGATCGATCTCCCTGTTGAGCTGCCGGGCGAGCTCCATCGCCGCGATTCTCTGGGAGAGAAAGATTAGGGCGGCACAACGGTGACAAAATATTTCTTTTATCGCGAGTCCGTTAGAATCTTAAAGGCAGGATCGTACATTTTCGGTACACTCGTACGGCCCCGCCCTATATGACACAAAAAAGCTCGTTCGTGTAGTTCTTCGTTCTTCGCGTTTTCTTACTTCCATTTCTCTCGGAGCTCCTTTCTTTGCGACAGCACCATGCTCACGGCGATGGCCACCACCAGCACCACGATCGTGATGAGCAGCAAAGCGTAGCTAAAGTCCTCGGTGAGCGAGTCGTAAGTTCGCGATGGCGCTGTTCTCGTGAAGAACAAATCGATCCCGTAGGCGAATACCAAGCACGTCGATTCTAGCCGAGCAGGGACGCTGATGATCCCCCGGAGTTCCTCCACTCGAGCCGCGTGTGTGAGATACGACTGCCAAGAACACGGCCTTTAGAACAGTCCCGAAAAGCAAACGACGCAAACCTGTGGAAAAACTGGGAGACCCTCGGAAAGAGGAATCACACCTTCCTCCCTTTCCATGGGAGTCGGATCCGCGGACCTGCGTGGATCCAAAAACCGCTTGTCCAGAGCGATTACCTGCGGGAAAACGATCTAAAGTTCGTCCAAACTCCATCAAAGTTGCTCGCTCACCTGGTTTCCTATAGTACCAACGAGTATTTGCTTTCCCGTGATGCCTCTTGCAGTGAACGTAACACTCATTGTCCTGACTGTGGACGGGAAAAAGTAGCTCTGTCCCTTAACTTCCAAGTTGCGTGGTGAGAACGACGAAAACGGGACGCTGGCGTTGTAGCGTCCCAGCATTAATTGAAGCACATCTTTCCCGTCCTGCGTGCGAAAAGAAAGTCAAGAAAAAACTCTCCTTTCAAGCTCAACTTGTCAAAAAAGACGTTACCGCGGATTTGTCATAAACTTCCAACACAGACATCTCGTGACGGTGGTTGCGCACATTGAAGTAGCAATAGACAACCCAGTTCTCGCTGAAAACCTGTTGAGAAATCCATCAGCTCTTGGAAGAAAAGAGAAAGGTGATTCTTTCTTTACCGCGTGAACGGGACCCTGTGCGTGTGCATGCGAGACACGATGGAGAATTTGGCCAGTGACACTGTCAATAAGGTACGCAACTAGCCACGTCTCTTCCGGGTTGGCGGCGCCAACTCTAGAATCTTGAGGTGTCACTGTTGCAACGAAAACCATGTTTTTGTTGAGATATTTGTACCATACGTCACGATTGCCCAGAACTTTAGCTTGGGTGTGCACCATCTGTGACGAGAAAATCAGAACCATATCAAGAAAAGAAGATCAAGACCCGAAAGTTACCTCATCTGCTCTTCTCGTTGTGATTGCCGCAATAGTTTCCGAGTCCTTCGGAAACAGTACAGACCATATCTTTTGCGACAGGAAAACCAGTCCGCCTTCTTCTCCAGAGTCTATCTGCGACTTGATGTTGTATCCTTCTATTTGCCCGGCTCCTTTATCAGCTATGTAGAAGTAGACGTTCTGCATGTACTTCTCGAAGAGGCTCAAGCTCTCGTCGCTCGTAGGATAAAGATGAGCCTTGTTCTGGTCGTCAATAAGTAAGTGGAGCCTTCGTTCCGATGAATCTACGAGTGGCAGAGCGAGAGCAAGCTTGACCGAGTAAGGAAGTGCCAAGGTTTCCTGCACACTGCCTGTGAGCATGTCTACCCAGGCCGCAAACCCAGTTCCATCGTGGGACGATCCCAATACAAGAGCAACCGGATTCTCGTCGACGTGCTTGTGAGGAATTCTCCACGGATACAGCTTCAAGGAACCTTTCGTCGACAATTCAGGAATGAAGCGCGACCACACTATGCCGCCATTTCCAGTATGAAGAGCGAAAAGCTTTCCGGAACTTGTGAGGACGACTATGAGCTTCCTAAAACCGTTGTGATCACGCGTCATTTTCGTCTTGTCTGCGTTATTCAGGCGCAAGGCTTGTAAAGCCGTCTGCTCCTCGGCTGTTGCAAGCATAAGCGTGGATTTCAAGCGCAAAACATGCCCCTGCATAAACAGCAAGTTGACGTCTCAACGTTGCAAACATATTTCGTTACCTTGAGCCACTCGTAGAGATCGTGCTCGACTTCTGCGACAGAAACACCAGCTTTTTCCAACGGAAGCTCAGCAGTCAAAGTATCCACGACGGAAGCAAGTGCTTCCTCTCTGCTCCACACCACCTTTCCCTGCTGCAGCAAAGCCAAGGAGTGATCCTGTCCGACTATAAGGACCCTGAATCCACGGCTTCTATCTGTTTTGATGTAAGCGTTCATGAACACTTTCTGTACCCCTCCCTTGTTTGGATCTACCTCCACTGTCTCCTCAGCAGTCTCAATCCATTCCTTGCCACTGAGCACACGGACGCGAATTTCTTTGGAGTTGACACGCTGAAGGAACGACTGCGCAAAAGTACCATCGAGAACGATGCTGTTACTGACAACCGCTGGCCCCTGGATCTGTTGAAGCACTTCCACACCTTTCTTGTCCAATCCCAGAACAAAAATGGAGCCGCCGTCTGTAGAAAGGACGCAACCTCCAGGGATCTTGTCTGGTAAAAGCTGCGCGCTTGAAACTGGCGAATCGAGAAGTGTAGCAAGACTTGTCTTTTGCAGCTCTACCACTTCGCCTTCCATAAGACCAGTAACAATGTCTCCCTGAGTATCCAGAGCCGCGAAAACTCCAGAGCTCAAAACGAAGCTAGAAGGATTCAACGGTTCGGTTGTCTTTAGAGTTGTGAAAGCGCCAGTGCTCGCATCGATGCGGAAAAGTGCGATGGATGATCCAGAAAACCCAGCGACGTATATATTCTTGCCTTCAAAGCTCAAGGAGGTCTGAGCCAGCCTGCTACCATCCAAAAACAAAATCAAACTTTCACCTCGAACATTAGTGGCACATACCTTTCATCCAGCAAATCCGCAGTCCAAAGAAGCCGGCCGTCGGCACTTGACACGACATAAACTATCCCTTGTTTCAGAACAAGTAGATCATCAGACTGCCACACAAGAAACAGTAAATCGTCAAGAGAAATGCAAAAGCGAACTCCATACCGGCAGGAGAAAAAGCTGAGCAGGAGATGGCGAAGTGTATAACGAAGTTTCCCAGATAAGTGAACCGTCAGGAAGATGGAATGATCTCAAGGAGCCTCCTCGAGACAATGAGACCGCATCTAGATCATCCGAGAAAGCCTTTCAAACACAGGAAGAAGAACAAAAAGAAAAAAAATGCTTACATTTGCCAAGAGCTACTTGGAGTCCATCAATCGGCTCCGACTCCTCTAGAACTTGCCTCCAAACTGGAATCCATCTCGTAAACTCTTTCAAGCCCATAAGAGAACTTACAAATCTCTCCAGAGCGAAGATTGAGTGATGCGACCACGCTCTTCTCTGTAGCTACAATAACGCGCTTCTTGCCGCTAGCAGTCTGGAACACTGCGTGAGTTACTTTTCCAATGTATTCCTGGTGCCTGCAATGGAGAAAACTCGTTTCTAAGCATGGATCCCATCCTTTTGAGCTCAGCATTCTCACTCACCAGTCCCATAGCCCGACCTGATCCTCGTAAATCGCATCACAAGCTGCGAGCACCACGAGCAGCAGCGCCGGCGCAAGGACCCAGCGCCTCCAGCTCCCCATTATCCAAGAACCCTAATTAAAACTCCAAGGGGGAAATAGTTTTAGGGCTCATCAGCTATGGAGTCCCTTCTCGCGTGCTACGCATCCGACGAGGAAGGAGAGGAGGAAATTCGCGCGCCAGTGACAAGTAAGTCCTCGATTCCTCCATTGCCAGAGCCGCGGATCAGCAATGGCGACCAAGGGAGAGGCGGCAAGAGCATGTTTAGCTTCCTTCCGGCGCCGAAGAGGAACAAGGGGCTGGATTATCACCCGCCGATCGACACCTCGGCCCTGGATGAGGAAGAAGATGCCGGCAATGCGAAGAAGAAGCCGCGATTGGACGAGAAGGAGATGACCGTGGTGGGGGGATTGGTATTGCCGGCTCCCAGGAACAGTTTGGGGATTGGGGGCGCTTTGGGTGGAGGCCGTGGCCAAGCTCTGGATTTTTCTAGCCACGGTTCTTCGTCACTGCCAGAGAGGAATCTAGATCAGGAAGAGATGGTTCCTTCTAGCAGCGAAAATGTGGAGGAGTCGGGATCTCAAGAGGGTCTTTACTACGAAGATCCTTTTCCAGGATATCAGACACAGGGATACGATGGTCTTTCGCAGGAAGAAAGCTATCAAGGCCAGGAGAATGGCTATGAGGGCCTGGAAAGTGGTGCTTTCTACGAGGATCAAGGACAGGATCATCCATACCAGTACTACGAGGGAGATGCTGTCTATGATCAAGCTCAAGCCCAAGCTCCTGTGGAGGAGGATCCGGTTGCGAAGGCTATGAGGCAGGAGAATCGGAAAGGAAGAGTGGAGCCGGTTAAGTTCGTCCAGATCAAGCAGGACGATCTCACCGCCAACAGGCCGCGAGAGGATCAGCTCCGGATGACTGGCATCGCGTTTGGCTCGACGTTTAGCTCCGTGCTTGACGTAAGTTTTTGCGATCTTCTTCTTTGTTCTTCCTTGGTTCTGACCGGTGGTGTTTTGATTTCCAGAAGAAGGATGACGAGGAGAACAAGCCTTCCAAGCTCCACAAGAAGAAGCACCAGATCGGATCGCTGTACTACGACATGAAGCAAAAGGAGTTTGAGCTCATGGAACGCCGCGCCAGAGGGTTCTTGAGCAAGGCTCAAACTCACGCAAAGTATGGCTGGTAAGAAAACGGGGAAAACAAAACTAGGAAGAAAAAAAGAAGAAAAGATGGAAGAAAAGAATGTTTAAAAGGCTTTTAAAGACGAAAGGTTTTTAGGGTTCTTGCAATGTCAGTGCTTGGCGCATATAGCTTCCGCGAGGAGAGAGTGCCAAGGTATGGCTATGGCGGCATCGATCGCGGCATACCAAGGGTGGGCTACAATGGTAGCAACGAGAAGGTGGTCATCAAATCGATGAACCAAGATCCCAGGGTCTTCGACATGGATCGCATCGAGGAAGAGTTTGATCTCATGATAGAGTGCGAGCACAAGAACGTCCTCAAGGCTCTCGACGTTGGCACCGACGAGCACTACTACACTTACATGGTTTTGGAGTATATCGACTGTGATCTCATGGACTTCTTCGGCCAGGACAAGGTCTACTACAGCATCTCCAAGGCGGACAAGATCCGGGAGATCCTGCGCCAGATTCTTTTAGGGCTTGCATGCATGCACGGACGTGGGGTGGCGCACCAGAACGTCGGCTACTACAGCCTGCTGGTCAAGCGCAATTACAACGAGTTTGTGGTCAAACTGGCGGATTTCAGCTGTGCGAGGAGGATTACGACGCCGGCGAATCCGGAGATTGCGGGATCACCGGAATACAGTGCTCCGGAAGTTCTTCGCATGGAAGCCGAGAGGATGGGAGCTAAGGCTGATATTTGGAGTGCCGGTGTTGTTTTCTTGCAGATGCTAATGGGATACAACCCTTTTTACCCTGGGATTAGCCATCAGCAAGAGAGAGAAAAGGTGGTGGGCGAGATTCATAGATTTCTTGACGAAGATATGTTTAAGTTGATTGAGGACAAGGCTGCAGTGGAATTGTTGAAAGGTATGCTAGCTTGGGATCCAGAGAAGAGATTTACTGCCCAAGAAGCGTTGGATTCACCATACTTAGCGGTACAAACACCACCGGTTATTAGAGAAAACAAAGTCGTGGTGAAAGTAGAAGATCGCCCCTCTACAGGTTTTTGGACAGAGATTGCGAAGATCTTCTCGCTTGCTTGATATTGAATAAAATTTCCAGCTTACAAGGCTTTTAGTACGCGGAGTTACTGAGAAAACTTACAATGCACCTGTTTTTCTGGAGGAGCTCGTCTAGTCTCTTCCATGTCGAGCTTTGCACTTGACGCAGCGTCTCTGCTTTGTGTCGCAGCTGCGAGTAAGTGAGAATGCTCTCGCCGTGGATCTGCGGTAAATCGAAAGCATTAATCGCTTCCAAAAGTGATGGAGAGAAACTTACTCGAAGCACGAGCAGCATTACTGCCTGGACAAAGTCGAAATCTCTGTTTAGAGAGGTAGCTTTGATGAGAAAGTCGATGAGCGAACCGATATCCTGGATCTGTTCCTCGGGAGCATCCTCGTCTACTATTTGCAAGAAGCGAATTTCGGCGTCGAGAGATGACGATGTCAGGCTTTTCATGTGCTCCAAAAGCTCCAGACCTTGAGAAAAACAAAAGTTAGCTGCTTCTAAAGAACCAAAAGAGCTTACATTCTCCGCCTCTGGCAAAGTCGTGAACGAGCTGGATAAACTGCGATGGCGTGTCCGCTCCAGTAGATAAAGACTGCAAACGGACCGACTTGGTTTTCTGCGAGTCTTGGTCTGGAGCAGCGAACGCAGGGACACCAGAGAGAGAAGGAAGCGTTGGCAAGAAAAACGGAGCTCTCTCTGGTTTTTTAGGCGCTGCTATCGGTTTGTTGCGAACCTGGAATTCATCATAGACATTAGAAGTCTTCCTAGAAGAACTTTGCGTACCTTGACTGTATCAAGATGCACAAGACCTTGCCACTGGTTTTTCGGAAGTAGCGATAAGGTTACCAGCTCTGGAGTGATTTGAGCAGTGCTGGGGAGCTCGGACTTCTCTTCTAGGCCAGGCAACTCAATATTATCCCGAGAGACTTTTTCTGGATTACTGTCCCCGTCTTCTTCTGGCCGAGATCCGGTCGACGATGGGAGCGCGACATCTTTTACGGCATTTCCGCTTCCAAGTTCAATATCTCCAGCAGAGTACATGTAGCGATTACCCCTGCAAATTTTCAGAATTAAAAAACTAAGAATAAAGGAAAAAAAACTAAAAGAACTCACCAAAGATATATGCCTTTATGATTTACGTGACATGTAGCCAACATGTCCATGCCTGGTGATAGAGAGAGGGCCGTGATTGCAGCATTTACACGCATTGCGTCCAGTTGCTTTGCTGCAACCACATCCCATACTCTTACAGTTGCATCCATAGCCGAGGACAAGAGCCATTTCCCATCCTCACTGAAAGTGAAATCGGTGATCCGGTCTGTGTGGCCCGAGAAAACTCGAACCAGCCGCACTGCCACCATGTCGTACAATCTTATAACGTGGTCGTCTGACGATACCGCAGCGAGGCCTGACAAAAGAAGCAGAGGGTTACTCAAGTTCTTGAAGATGACGTACCGTTCCCACGGTGGTAAGTCATTTTTATTATCGGAGAGCCGGGACTAATAGAGGCTTTTAGCTGCAAGGACTTGAAGTTCCACACCTGAAATCGCAAGGTCTGGCAGTGATAACACAGTGTCCTCAGCCATACCTTGATGAACTTATCGTAGCCAGCGCTGAAAAGGCACGCGTTCGTCGCATCTGAAGCGAGACCATGCACTGCTCCTCTATGCGCGCTTTGATCAGCCAACGTGCCATCGCGGTATGAACCACGGTGAAGTCCCGACTGCAAGTTAAACCGCTCAATGTGTCCTGACGCAGTACCAAGCGTCACAAAATTTCCGCAAGCACTGATACTGCAAATCTGTCAAAGGATAACATTTGATCATGACAAAACATGCTAGAGTTCTCACTAACCTTCACAGGGCTAGGCTTCTCAGGGCAAGGCTTGAGGACATGCTCGCCAATAACAAAGTTCTGTAAACGCCAGGTATATGCAGAGCAATCGTCCAGATGACATGTGACGACATTGCACCAGTCCCGCTCTCGGATTTCGGCTGCAACGCAATGACGTTGTGATTAGTTTTGTTTTCCACTTCACAAAAATTTACCTGCGTCAAAAGCGACGATAGGTGCGAGCTTTATTTCTTCTTCCTGAGAAGCTGAACAGCAACGAAGTTAGTACAAGCATGAAATCAACAAACACCGACCTTTAGCTTTAGCCTTTTAGCGCGCTTGGTTACATTCCCTTGAGAAAGCTCTCTGCTCTGTTGATCCTGATATATATATATGCAAACATGTGCTAAGATAAGATCCGAATTTATAACTCAAGAACTCACTTGAATGGTCGAAAATAAGCGGAAAGCACGGTCTTGGCCACCGGACAAGATGCATCGCCCGTCACCGTAGTACCTGCAAAAACTCAAGATAAGCATAGGCAACCAAAAACTCTCGAAGACCTTATGCACGTAGGTGGAGCGCTGTGACCACTCCTGTACCGCAGAAGCCTTGCATCACCATCTAATGAATCAAATATCCACATCTGCGAGAATTGACGATAAAGTAAGTTGCCAAGGAAAATAGCAGAAAGAGACAGAGGGAAACCAAACCTTCAAAGAATTGTCCTTTGAGTTGCTCATTAATACAGGTTCGTTAGCTAGAAAATGCAAAGACGCTACTTCTGAGTCGTGAGCGTCGTTGATAACAGTCTGCAGTTTCTTCTTTTCCAAGTCCCAAATACTTATGGCACCGGATGATCCTCCGGCAGCCAAGAACGCGTGACCATCTGTAGGATACAGTTCATATACAAGATACACAAAGATATCCAGCATGCATACCTGTCCTGAACGAAAGTGCCGTCACACCCCCTCTGGTAGTATGTGTAAAAGTGGCAATAGTTTCATCGTATCGGATATTGTGCACATGGATTTTCCCATCTCCACACCCAATTCCAACGACGTCCAGCGCGGGAGACGATACGCAAGTAAGAACGGGAGAGTTCCATCCTTTGAACTCATGGACCATCTTTCTGGATTTAATATTCCAAAGCTGTAATCGACCATCCTCGAAACCAAAAAGAACCTGTCAAATAAGGGGACGCACATAAGTTGGCAATGAGAAGTTCACAATGAGATCACTAACCTTGTCAAGGTATGTCTGTGGATGCATCAAGCATGTCACGCCACGACCAAAATGGAGTTCTGCAATCGGTTTACCGTCTCCCTTCGTAGAAAGAATACCCGTGTCCCACACACATACGTGTCCTTCAGTGTCGGAACTCAAGATGAAGTGGCCGAATTCCAGGAGATATTTAATTTTGCTCGAGTGAGCTTTCCACACAGCGATCTGAATCAATCAAGTTTCAATCTTAGCAGAAACTTGCAAGAGCAACCAAACAAAAAAAACAGAAAAGGCAAAAAAATATATCACACCTGGTGTGCTCGATCGAAAACCACTACATTCTTTCCACTGGCTGCAAACGTAAAGCCTTCGTAGCAAGCCAACGCTCTGATGGATTTTTCCAGCTGAGGACCTGCTTAAAACAATGAAGTTACTCACCTCTGCTTGCAAAAGAAAACACAAACCGACCTACAAAAACCAGCAGTAGCTTCGAGCACTGCAACACACAATCCCGTCAAGAAAGGAAACTCGCGCAAAGAATCTGGCAACACTCACATTGAATCGCTGCCACGCCTTGCCGACGCTCACCGTGACGAGCGTCTCAACGCCGCTGCGCTGCACTGCGAATGGGACGCCATCACTGATGTAGCCGATCGCCCGGAAGGCTTCGAAAATGCCCATGCCGCCCTAAAACCCTAAACCCAAATTTTCGACACTCCCGGGATTCGAACCCCAATCGGTGACCCTTTTTCGATTCGCCTTTACTGCGACTATAAAATAGAGCTCTTCTCCATAGGGTTTCTCCATAGCTTGAGAGATGAAAGTGTTGGGCAGATATAACTATGCGTTTGGATATGGCGAAAGCTCTGCGGTGGCGCATGGATACGATGATCTGGGCGAGAGAGTAGTGATAAAAAATATGGGCAAAGGCGAGGAGGTTCACAAGCAAATCCTCAAGGAGTTTGAGATCATGGTAAATTGCAAACACGAAAACGTTTTGGACGTGATTGACATGGGGCTAGACAAGGATGGGAATTACTACATGGTATTCGAGCATACTGATGGTAACATGTTGGAGTACCTAGAAATGGACCTTTCGAAAGCTGGCAAAGAATCTGAGCTTGGTTCGAGGTTTTTCACCAGGGAAGAGAAGATCAAGGAGATAATGCGCCAGCTCCTTTTAGGGCTTGCATGGCTGCATGAACGTGGGGTGGCGCACCAGGGCATGACAAAAGATAACGTCCTGGTGAAGGTCAAAGGATGCGATTTCAAGGTGAAGCTGAGCGATTTTAGCTGTGCAAGGAGGCTTTGCAACAATCCCCCAGAAACAACCCTGAAAGTGGGAACCGCGGAGGACATATGGAGTGCTGGGATATTGCTAGCGGGGATGCTCTTGCCATTGGAAATGCCTGAGCTACCAGAGAAAGAGGCTAAAGGAGAGGTGTTGGAGACAATCAAAAAATTTCTCCGGGACTTGGATGATTTGATCAAGGACAAGGACGCCCTGGAGTTAGTCAAATCGATGCTAGCGTCTGATCCAGTTACTGCCCGGCAAGCTTTAGCTTTCAGGTATTTACATCGCAATACCCAATAACATATGAGAATATCTTAGATACGAACTATTGTAAGAAGTATAGATTACAACACTAAGTAAAAAATATGAGTTGTGTCCAACACGAAAAGAAGATAAGTAAAATGAGATGACAGGGATGATGCCTCAAGGGACACAGATGTTGCTCCACAGCATAGGGAGGTAATCTTTTCAATGAAAAATCTACAACATTCTCTTTTGCTTTTGGTTGTCTTTGGTTTTCTCCAGAGACGAGAGTCAGCCGCAAGGGTGCTCATGCCGCCTCCCTGAGCCATGATTTTGGTCGCCAGGAACAACTGCAACGCAAGCTATTCTTCTAGCACCAGTGAAGATGCGATGCTGAGCTGCAATTCTTCGTCGGGCATCAGCTCTGAGGTGATCAAGGTCACTGATCCTGAGGCATTTGTCGAATTCGTGAGTGCGGGTGAGTGCGGGCGAGAGCTTGTCATCCTTCTCAGATCCTCCAATGACAGCTATAACGACACAGTTGATGAGTGAAGGAAGAAGAAACTAAAGCTTCCCCTATGAAAATTGTTTTATTAGCCGCGAGACACGCAATACACTATATGAAGCTAATGGTTCACAGTCTTGTAATGGTGATTTTAGGACATTTATAATATTATTTCTGATGGATACAAAATAGCTGGTAATTATTTTATTTGGACATTTCTGTGTATTTTCCATGAAGCTAGCTATTGTTCTAATAGTGATTCTCAGATTAGCAGATTTGACTGTTCAAGCAGATGTAAATTGGGATGCTCTTACACTTTATGGTTTTATTACTAGAAGTGATATTAATGAAATTGGAAAGTTTTTAGTGGATATGATGGATACTAAAATCGAAGAAACATATAAATACTATAATGCATTTACTTGGACTGAAACTCTTTCTTTATCAAATAAAGTTATTGAAATTACCATATGGATATACAGTAAAAATCCTAATGGGATGTGTAATATGGCATGGAGACAGTCAGGGATAGGGGCATCAGGAGAAGAAATTATTGGAAAACTTAATCAGCTTTTATTTGATATCTTAAAAGAAGCTCGAGTGGGAAATTATGGTCTTATAGCTGCTACTTTGGATTATGTTGGTATAAAATACAAACTATTAAATGCTAGAAGATATAACCCTATGAGTATCGCTGCAAATAATAATAAAACTTATATAAATACAGCTGTTAATAATTGTTGGATTTACAGGTCTACACTTATGAGTGGTGAAAAATTTGAGATAGGATCCTATTTACTCAATTTGAATTCACTAGTTTCTCCAAATGGATATTATGAATTAACTCTTCAGGAAAATTGTAATTTAGTGTTAACATGGAAGAGAATGCATATTTTATGGGAAAGTCTGACCACTAACAAAGATATTGATTGCTAGTTACTTTTAGAGACAAGAAAATTAGTAATAAAAGATTATAAAGATGTAGACATATGGTTTATAGATATTAATTGTCAAAGTTGTAAATCAACAATACTATCTATAGATGATGATGGATTTGTATATATAATTGGCTCAAATGATAATGTTGCTACTGGCATGCTGATAGTGACAAATGATGAAGTCAAGGGGAGGATTCAAGTGGTAAGTGGTAGTTATTCAATTGATGGTCATGCTTGAGAGGGATGGTAAATAGCAAAGAGCAAATGTAAGCTCCTGAATTTGGACTTCCCGGGAAGTCACCCAGCCCAGTACTATTCAAACCCAAGAACGCTTAACCCCAAATATCCTAAGACCTTTAACTGATTGGAAAAGGGGGTGCATTCTTGTTCATGGGCCCTTTCCCTCTATATTTGAACCCCATGGATCGTCTTTCAAGTCATTCCCTTTGGTTGCTTACAATCATGGACACGAAATGGAGTCCGAGATGGACCTGAGTTGGAGTCCGAGGTAGAGTCCGAGATGGAGTCCGAGAAGGACCCAAGATGGAGTCCGAGATGGACCCGAGATGGAGTCCGAGATGGACCCGAGATGGAGTCCGAGATGGACCAAGACGGAGTCCGAGATTGAGTCCGAGATGGACTCGAGATGGAATCCGAGATGGAGTCCGAGAAGGACCCAAGATGGAGTCCGAGGTCAAGACTGAGACCGGGACCAAGACCGGAACTGGGACCAAGACCGAGACCGAGACCGGGACCGGGACCGAGACCGAGACCGGGACCGGGACCGAGACCGAGACCGGGACCGGGACCGAGACCGAGACCGGGACCGGGACCGAGACCGAGGCCGAGGCTGAGACCGAGCCCGAGTCCGAGTCTAAGACCAAGCCCGAGTCCGAGTCCGAGTCTGAGCCCGAGTCCAAGTCCGAGTTTGAGTCTAAGAGGGTGAAAGCCCAAAGCGTTTGTCTCCCAAACCCTGGGGGGTTTGGTGAGCTCCAAAAGTATAGTAAGGGGGAGGACTGCAGTGGAGCCAGTTTGGCCAGGAAAGGCTAGTTTGGCCCAGGAAGGCTATACCCAGTGTTGGGTGATGAGTTGCCCACTGGGAAGTCCAAGACTAGAGTGAACACGGACCGATAAGCGGGGTAGCTTGGTGAAGTGTTCAAGAGCCGGCTCTAGTTCCCCTGGGAGATCGACTGGCCGATGCTCCTAATCCAAGTGTGGGTGGCACTACCTACTTGGATACCAAGCGTGGCTCAATAGAACCTCGCTCTAAGCCCATGGCTAGAGCACCCAAGGGCAGAAGGCAGGGAGAGTACCTAGGTGGCTCGCGTAAGGCCATAGTGTTCCGAAATGTTGCCCCAAAGTCCTAGACTGTGGAAAGGAAGAGGAGCAGACCTCTGGCACAGTGACTAAGGACATATTCACATGGTGAGGAAGTCCCAGAGGGCATTAGGACTTAGTGGTTGGGCATGTGGGCCTTGACCCAGTGGTAGTGTTGGTGAACACAACCATGAGTAGGACAGGACTTGGTTGGGACTGAAAGAGGGATATTGGGGAAGGCTATTCTCCTTGTCGGTGGGAATCTGAAGGATGCTAAGGAGTGGATCTGTGATGACCATTCATGGATGGTTGGCCCAGTCTTGGAGAGGCAAGACTGTGACGCAACTGGTATTGGACCACCAGTGCAGCAAAGGTGAATGGGCATGGCCTTAGCGTAATGGGCCGATATGTCAGTGGTATCTTTGGGTGTCGGCCATGGGACCAAACACATGGAGCACTTGGACCAAGTGCAACGGTTGAGTGGCACGGATGCCATTTTTGGGGCTAGCAAGCCCAAGTACGAAATAGGACTTATGGAGATTGTGAGTGAGACTCCTCCAAGTGGTCGAAGGTGGGGTTAAGTGGCTAAAGTAGAATGGAAAATCTAGTCGCTTACACAGGGTTCTCTTGTAAATGGGCCAGGATCTGGAGGAACATAAGGAGGAGGCATCGGCAGATCTGTAGATGGCATTAACTGCTCCTGATCCCTTTGTATGAAGCGTTTCAACCGCTGCACATGCACAATCTCTAGAGGATCAGCTTGCTGGACGTCATGCCGAACCTCATAAACTTGTGGTCCAACTTGCCACAACACCCGATACGGTCCTTTCCACTGTGCAAGGAGCCCCTTAGATAAAGCACATGCCGTAAGATGGGGAAAACGGACTAACACCAAATCATCCACTTTGTATTCTGCAGGTGGACGATGATGGGAGTTGTAGCGCCATTGTTGTCCCACTTGTACGCGGCCTAAGTGTTCGGTAGACTCCACTCGGACAAGTGGAAGAATGCTTGTCAAATATTGATCCTATGACCTAGCATCTGCAGCTCGTGGTAATTGCGAAGGTAAACCCAGCTCCATTGGTAATATTGGATCATGACCATATAGGAGTTTTTATGGTGAAACACCAATAGAACTCTGCACCCCAATAACATATGCATACTGAAGAGACAACAAATAACCATCCCAATCCAAATGCTGAAAGTTCACATACTTCGCAATCATCCCCTTGAACGTCCGAACGAGCCGTTCCACCAGACCGTCTGCTTGTGGATGATAAGCACTCGTGAAAGTGTGGTGAATCCCCAATCGAGACGTCAAAACATGAAATGCCTTAGCCATAAATGCAGGACTATTATCCGAAAGAATCGGCTCTGGACAAGAATGCTGGAACACCACTCGATTAAGG